TTCACAACATATATAAATCGACTCAGTTTTTAACGCTGATTCCGAATCTGATATTAGTTTTTAACCAAATAGTAGCTTTCTAACAAAACATCGCCTGAAAAAAGTCTCCAAATGCACAAAAACTGCATCGCAATCGGAATCTCCTTTCGAAAGTTATCGTGTAAACGGCCGGATGGACACGCCGACCGAATCTATAGGGTACTCACTTTTTGAGTGCACAAAAAGATTTTCTCCCATAACAGTTATAGAAATAAACCTTTGAAGAAGTAATTAAGATAGCAATTATTATGCTTAATAAAGTGAGAGCCTTTAAAAAGACCAGTTTATGACAATAGATGATAACAGAAAAATTAAAACGTTTTGGCAGCTTAAATAAAAAGAACATTTCTACAGTGATCAACAAAAGCATTGATGACCATGACATGAAGTCAGTTCTTTAGGAGTCTTCGAATGCCGAAACTGTCGATGTATTCGACTCAGCTTGTACCATATAAATACAAAATATAAATCGTGATGTGGAATTCTAAACACTTATAATGTGTAATTACGTTTTCATCCAAGCTTTTGTAATCAGAAAATATACATAAATTGTTTAAAATGACATTGCAAGGAGTTAACTCGTGCAATATTTCATTTATTTTGTCGTCATTCACAAAAAGGTTTCATTCAAAGAGAAGAATGGCAAAAACATGTTATTGAGTTTTGCCTATTCACGTCTTTACAACTGCAAACTATTACGTCAAAAGTGGTTGTGGGTGTAGGTGTGGCTGTCGGACGTGGGTGTGGGTATTGGTATTCTAATCTTTTCCGCCCACACCTCACACCCACACCCACACACCCCACATCCTAACAGTCTTTTTTTTATTCATTCATTCTCTTGCGATGCCATAGGGACAACCAAGAAAAAAAGTGAAACACTAATATATGAAAGAAAAAGAGCGAACAACTCGAACTGCAATATTGATAAAAAAAACATGCAGAAAAAGTTCGAATATCGTGTAATCAATTCATTTTATGTTGCTTTCTTCATTGATTGAACAGCACGACATTGAGACAAAAATGTCAGCAACTGCCACTGGTGCTGCTGCTGCCGCTACATTATTTAAACATATGCACATAAGACCATATCAGAATCCTTATACTCGCGTGGTTCAAAACTTCGCTGTGGTGTGGCTCGATCTCAACACCGATGCGACGAAAAACAGTGATTGCATCAACACCAACAACAAACTAAGAGAAGTGGTGAACACGATACATGCATTCACTGACGTGAATGAATGCATCGACTTTATAACCGACATTCAAGAAGAGAAAATATTTATGATACTTTCCGATAATTTTGGACAAACAACTATTCGCATCGTTCATGACATTTCACAAATTAATGCTATCTACATTTTGGGTGAAAACCAATCCAAGCACGAAATTTGGACCAAACAGTTGCCAAAAATAAAAGGAGTCTTTACAGATATTGCTCCTATCTGTAAAGACCTTCAGCACGTGGCATATGAATGTGATCAAAACATGGTTTCCATCAGTTACATAATCACTAGTAGTGGAAGCAGCACGGAAAGCCTCAACCAGTTAGACTCTTCATTTATGCATACACAGATAATGAAAGAAATTCTTTTGAGCATTGATTTCCAGCAAAGACATTTCGATGAATTTGTTACTTATTCCCGTCAAGTATACACCACAAATATGAGAGAATTGCAGAATATCGATAAATTCGAACGAGAATACCGAGAACATCTTCCGATATGGTGGTATACGTTCCCATGTTTTCTATATTCGATGCTGAATCGATCGTTACGCATGATGGAGATTGACATTGTCATAAACATGGGGTTTTTCATCCGTGATCTTCACACTCACATCGTGACACTTCATGCTCAACAGTATACTGAGCTATCAACTGCGAATCCATTTACTGTTTATCGTGGTCAGGGGCTGTCAAAAGTTGACTTAGATCAATTGATCAAAACCAAAGGTGGACTTTTATCTTTTAATAATTTCATATCAACTAGTACGAAACGGCAAGTATCCCTCGGTTTTGCTCGTAGAACTATGGCAACGTCTGATCTTGTTGGTATTTTATTTGTCATGAAAATTGATCCATCCATCCCGTCAACACCATTTGCTGACATAAGTGATGTCAGTTATTACAAAAGAGAAGAAGAAATTCTCTTCTCCATGCATTCTATCTTTCGCATTGGGTCAATCGAACAAATCGATGAAAATCAGCGTCTTTGGCAAGTCAACTTAGCATTGACTTGTGACGATGATCCAGAACTCCATGCACTTACTGAACACATGCGCAAAGAAATCCATCCTCATAAGAAAGGGTGGGACCGTTTGGCTATGCTACTAATTAAACTCGGACAGTTCGACAAAGCCCAAAAAATATATGATACTCTTCTTGATCAAACACCGACTGATCTTGAAAAAATATCAATTTACAATATATTCGGACTCATTAAGGAGGGTCAAGGTAAATATAAAGAGGCGGCTTCCTATTATCAACAATCGCATGAAATATCTAAGAAGATTTTATCACAAACAGATACCGATTTGGCTGCCCCTTATAATAACATTGGTATGGCATATTTGCAGATTGGTGACTATTCGAATGCACTCTCATATTACCAAAAAGACCTCGAAATCATAGAAAAAAATCTTCCTTCAGATCATCCTGATTTGGCCACTTCTTACAATAACATAGGTATGGCGTATTCCAAGATGAGTGACTATTCAAATGCACTTTTACATCATCAAAAAGCACTGCAAATCCGCCAGAAAGCCCTTCCTTCAAGTCATCCTCATTTAGCTGATTCATACAGCAACATTGGCACGGTGTATTCCAAGATGAGTAACCATTCAGATGCACTTTCATATTATACAAAAGCATTGGAAATTAAACAAAAAACGCTTCCTTCAAATCATCCTGATTTGGCTCCTTCTTATAACGGCATTGGTTCAATTTACAACACAATGGGTGACTATTCGAATGCACTTTTATATTATCAAAAGGCACTGGAGGTCCGAGAAAAAAGCTTCTCTTCGAATCATCCTAATATGGCTACTTCTTACAATAACATTGGTTGTGTGTATTTCAACATGGGTGACTATTCGAATGCACTTTTATGTCACCGAAAAGCACTGGAAATTCAGCAGGAAACCCTTCCTTCAAATCATCCTGATTTGGCTCACTCGTACAGCAACATTGGGGTAGTGTATAACGACATGAGTGACTATTCGAATGCGCTTTCATCTCATCAAAAAGCATTATCCTTGCTTCAGGAAACGCTCCCGTCAAATCATCCTTATTTGGCGACTTCTTACAATAATATTGGTTTAGTGTATTCCAGTATGAAAGACTATTCGAACGCACTTTTATGCAATGAAAAAGCGTTGGAAATTCGTCAAAACAGTCTTCCGCCAAATTATCTTGATTTGGCGACTTCTTACAATAATATTGGTTTAGTGTATTCCAGTATGGAAGACTATTCGAACGCCCTTTTATGTAATGAAAAAGCGTTGGAAATTCGTCAAAACAGTCTTCCTTCAAATCATCCTGATTTGGCTCAATCCTACAATAATATTGGCTCGATATATCACACAATGGGGGATTATTCGAATTCACTTTTATGCAATCAAAAAGCGCTAGAAATCCGCCAAAAATGTCTTCCTTCAAATCATCCCCATTTGGCTCCT